GCCTGGTGGGATGTTGGATTTCAAGGAGAACCAGAGCTCCAAGAGCCAAGGGGCACGGAGGCAAGGTTGGCTGGGCCACCTGGTGATTGAAGGTGGGGAAGAGTGGTCAGTGGTCAGTGACTCACACAAGAGCAGCTATATCTTAGTTCTGCTTCTCATCAGGTGTCAGACTGTACCTGTACCACCAGAGATGGAGTTGGGGGGAGTCCGGTCCTCTCTTTCATTAGGGGGAACAAAGGCCCAGGGAAGAGTAGGGACTTTCAGGCAGTGCAGTAATCATCAAAGCTGCCATGGGGACTGATGCCCAGACCAAGTTCTCTCAGATCCCTGAATGCTGCCGGATTAGCATGTGGGTTCCATGTACACATGGAACAGCTCAAAGTCTGTCTTCAACTTTAATTTTACCCAACATGCCTCAGGTCGGGCCTGTGGTGCAGTGATGACAGACAGACTGACCATCAAGACCCCAAGAACCTTGGCTTAGAGATGAGTTCCATGGTCCCTGGTGTCTCTTAGGGCCTCACTTCCCTCAAAGCAAGATGGCTCCAACGTGCCTCAGGACACGCAGGGCTCTGTGGGGCGTGGGCAGCAGGTGCCAGCATGGAGCTGGGATTCCAGCCCTAGCTGAGGATGAGCTCGCAGAGCAGCCTTCTGAGGTGTGTCTGTGTTCACACTTGGGCTGAAGCTGGGCTGGGGGAAGGAGGAATGTTATGATTGTAGAAAAAAAAGACTTTGTGATGGGGCCTTTCTCCCCTGGGCCCAGCACCCCCAGCGCAGGCCATGCAGACTGCTGGTGGCACACCCCAGAGGTATCCTTCTGAGTGCCTGCATGAGGACCAGTGGCCTCCAGCTGGTTCCCAATAGTGGGGCTTTGTGTAGCCCAAGTTTGACATCCGGGTCTGACGGCAGCAACTGCTGCTTCTGCAGACTTCCAACAGCCTTTGGTTTCTTTCTTTATGTCTTTGTTTTCCTGAGTACAGCTTCAGATCTCCCGATCTACCCCGGGGCAGGAGACTTTCTCATTGTCTCACTGGAGCCAAACTGCTGACTCTTAGCCTAGTTTAATCCCCTCATTTTCGGGTGTGGAAATTGAGGCCCAGAGAGGTGAAACAGGGTCACCCAGCTGGAAAGGTTCCTCTGCATGAACTGATTTCTTTAAGCATCAACCACCCTTTCCATCCTGCCGCCCACTCATGCCACGTACCCGATACCATCTCCAACAGCAGCCCTATTTTCTGAGCCTGACCTTACCTGCCTATCCAGGCTCCCCTCTCTCCTCTGATGAGTTTTAACTAAGCCCAGCCATGCCACAGATGATACTGAAATAAGGTAGGCAGGCCTCTGGCGCTCGTACCAATAGAGAGGGCCATGCCTATGGGCTTCCGTTTTGTCCCAAGTGGATTCAGGCCAGTCAGCCTGCTGTCAGGGAGGGCTCTGGGGAGTCAGGGACAGGCATGCTTCTGGAAACTTCCACCCAAGCTTGACCAGCTCAGACCTGTATTAGCTCAGGAAATACCCACCAACTCGCCACCCCCTAAGCATCTTCTTTCCTCTGACTGCCGCTGACCCTCTGAACCTCTAATGCCTCTAAGGCTCCTAGGGCATCTGTCCCCAAGCTCCTCACCTGCTTGCCCAGCCTGCCTGGGACGGGGGCGAGGGGGGGGCTCTCCGGGGGCTCCCTGCTTTCCTCAGTCCCCGGGCAAGCCCCAAAGACCACTCCGCCTCTCCCTCCCTCCCTCCAGCTGATGATCCCTGGATAATTTATGCAGCAAATCCTCTTTAATCTTTAATCTAGGGCCCTGCACAAAGGGAATTTCCCATCTCTTCTTCACAGCTTGGGTGGAGGTGGAGCACGTCTGCCATTCCCCCGTAGGAGGTGTGAGGGGGTGTGGATAAGCAGTAACTTGGACATAAGTCAGATTCACATCCTGAAAACCTTGAGGACTGGGAGGAGGCGGGGATTAGTGGTTTCTCTCCAACTCGTGGGGCAAACCCCCCTCTCCTTCCCAAGGCGTCTCCTGGGGATGCCAGGTGGGCCCTTTCTTTTTCTTTGGGGTCTGGCTCAAGCGCCGATAGTGATGCGCTGCCCCAAGAGGCCACTCTTTAGGGGCTGAGTAAGACAGCGCCAGGTGACAGTGCCGCACTGTCCTGAGCGCCTCTCCGCTCCCGGCGCCTCTGGTGGTCGCGGGCTGCAAGGCTCGCCCCGAGGCTGGCAGCCGCCTGTCCCGCGTGCGCCCTCACTCCCCTACCCATCCGCGGAGGTGCAGACCCCGCCCGGGGCTGACTCGCCCCGCCCCCGCCCCGAGCCCCGCCCCCGGCCGGTCCACACTCGGGGCGGAGGGCGGGGGCCGGCGGTGCGGCGAGGTCGGCACGCAGCTCCGGCCGCGGGTCCCTCCGGCGCTGTCCAAGCTGAGCCGGCCCTGCCCGGGCTGCAGCCATGGTAAGGCTGGGGGCGGGGGGGAAGGGTGGGGTCGGGGCGCGGGGCCAGACCGGGGTGCGCAGGGCCTGCCACTCCCGGGCGGCTCGCGGGGACCCGCGGCGCCGCAGCCCTGATGTGCCGGGCGGGAGGCGCCGTCGCCGGCCGTGGGCATAGGCAGGCACTGCTCTGTCGCCGTTGCCAAGTTTCTATTCCTGATCTGAGCAGCTAGCAGCGGACCCCGACCCCCGGGGTACTGCCCGTGTTCTTGGACGAAGGGGTGGGTCCGTGGTGGGGTTTGGGGCGCGCCGGCTGATAAGCGCATGCTTTGCCGGGGAGGGCGCGTCAGCGATGAGCCGAGGTGAGCGTCCCCGCCCTTGCTGGGGTCAGCTATTACCTGGGTGACCCTCCTCACCCGGCTTTCCTAGGCTCGGGGCCAGCACCAACTTCCTTTGGAAAACACACAGAGGAGGCCCACAAACAGTTCCTGCCTCTTCAAGAGGGATGAGGAGCCTCTTGGGCCCTCCTTCCACGGCCTGGCAAGGGCGGCATTTGAGCCCTCTGCTCCACAGGGTCCTCCGCCCAGACTCCTACTCGGTGGGATCAGCTGTACCCTTTACTTCTGAGAGAGAAACCCAGGGAAAGCTTCCTCCTGCAGCATCCTGCACCCTCCCTCCCCCTTCCAAACCAGGTCCCTCTGCAGTGGTGGGGGGTGGGAGGAACTCATTCCTGCCACCTGCCTGTAGTGGGAGGAGAAACAGTAGCCCCAGCCAGCCTCCCTGGAGGCCCCCAGGTGGGAAGTTTGGATGTTTGGCCCGCTCTTCTCCTGCCACTGTTGCCAGAGCCTGCCACAAGCACCCTATGCCAGGTGTCAGGGCCTCAGGCCCGGTGCCAGCTTCTCCTTGCAGTCTGGAACCGCCCCCCTTCCCGCCCCCCCCTTAGCCTTCTGCCTTGGGAGGCACAGGCTGTTTACAGCGGGAGGAGATCTGTGACCAGCGTGTGGGGCAGGATGTTGGCTGTGGGCAGCCTCCAGAAGGGAGCTTCCTGGGCCCCAGGGAATCAGAAGTTTCTGGGTCTGGAAAGGCCACCCTTTTGGGCTCTTGTCTCTCAAGCTGTGTCCAGGCTGAGGCCCAAGTCTTGGCCAGGAAGTCTTGGTGACCCTGTGACTTCCCCCACAGGGGGGTTCCTGGGAGAGGCCAAGTGGTGTCTGTCTTTATCCCTGCCTCCATCCTTCTCCCCACATGGGGACGGACAGACGGATTGTTCCGGAGATGGAAGCCTGGGGGAGCACTGATTGTCCCCAGTGCCAAGTGCAACAGAAGCCAAGAGGGGCTTTTTCCGCCACACACTAAGTTCAGTTCAGCTGAGGTCTTGGTGCTTTCAACTTGGCTGAGGCTACCCTGTTCCTCCCTAATTAAAGACACCCCCCCTCACAGTCCTCAGCCTCACGCCCCTGACCTCAAGCCAGCCCAGTCCTCAGACTGACCGGTTCATGTCCAACCAGCCTCCTCTGTGAGGGTCTCTTTTTGAAAGGAGATCAGTGGGGAGAACTCACCAGCCCAGGAGCCCCAGGGGGGTTTAATTTGCATGCAAAAAGGACAGGCCACCATTAATAACCATCCTGAGATTTCTGATGCACCTTCTCTCCTCAGGCTCAAAGCAGTCTGAGGTATCTCACCTGGGAGTGCTTTCTCTCCCTATCCTTCCTGGGAGTCAAGGAAGGGCCATTCACAATTGGATATTAAGGCCCTGAAATTAAAACACTGTTCAAAATCACAAAGGGTGTTTCTGGCCAAACCGGAAACACTGGGCTCCTGACTCCTAGTCAAGTGCTCCATCTGCACACTCCCAGCCAGGCCCCTCAATTTGTCTCCCACCTAATTGTCAACTTTAAAACCACTGGGATGCCAGCCTCCTGTTGGCCTGAACTCATGCCCCTCAGAGAACAAGTGCTAGCAGCTGCCCCACTGCCTCTCTGCCAGTGATGGAGGGACACATGTCCCCAAGGGCATCTTTAGGTGGGAGGAGCCCTTCTGGGGCTCTCTGCAGGGGAATCTAGGTGCAGATTTCTGAAGATAGTGGGGTTCTCTGCTGGATCCACTTCCATGAGAACCTATGGCCAGGGGATTATAGGACATCCCACCCTACTTCAGCACTGCTTAAAGTTAGGATGAGAGAGAGAGATTGGACTCTGGGAGTGGGGTCTCCTGGAGAGCAGCCCCATGTACATCTGGGCCAGGTCACCTTGGGGATAGCTCACGACCCTCTGAACAGGTCTCGGTGCCCTTGGAGGTTAACAGGAGAGGTCAAGTAGATCAAGAACCTGTGCTGCAGACAGACTTGGGAGGCTGGTGCTGTGCCCACCAGGGTAGGCAGCCGGCAGGCATCCTGGGGCAGCCAATCAGAGGAGGAGGGAACTGCAGAGAAACCCAGTGATCCTGCTGCAGCTGAGCTGTCCTTGGAGGGTGGGAGCCAAGAGAAGGGGAGGATGAGGGGGTGGGGAAGGACATTCCACAGGCTTTTTTGGCCCCTGGCAGAGACAGGGGGGTTACATAGAAAGGGAAAGGAGCAAGCCAGGGCACAGGATTACAACAAGAGCATCAAGACCAGGCTGTGTCTCTGTGTGAGGAACTTTGCCTGAGGGATACAATTAGACCTAGAGCTTGCCGACAGGGAGTCCGAAGCCTGGGACATGGACCGTTCAATGGGATGTCAAGGCAGCTCTGTCCCTGAGGACAGGACTGAAGCTGGGGTAAGGTGCTGTTCTGGGAGATGGGTGGACCTGACCCGCCTTCCCCCTGCCTTGTCTGGGACTGGGGCTCCAAGTCAGAATATGACATTTGGTCATTGGCAGAGCTGGGGGTGGGGAAGGACAGACAGGAGGGGAGGACCCTGGTGTCCTGACTCCTTGTCTGGAGCCCCTGTGGGCCCCTCCATGCTGACAAGCAGCCAGGGGTGGCAGGGAGAATGGTGCTGGCTCCCTGTAGGCTCTGCTGGGAGAGAGTGGGGTGGAGGGGGCGTCTCCATCGGTGCCTCCCCTCTCTTCCCTGCTCAGCACCCTGTGGAGATAGTCCGGGGAGCATAGTCCTCTCTCCCCCTTCATCTGATGCCCAGACCGACTGCTGGGCCACTGCGAGGTTGTACAAGGGGCAGGATTTCCTGGAATTCCCCAGACTTTTTAACTGTCAGCAAACAAGACCTGCTTCTCCTCCCCCCTGCCTCTAGCCCCAGCCCTTCTCTATTCTCATATAACTCATCATCCATCCAAGCTGGGAGACTTTTGAGAGTGGAAAGGGGCACAATTAATCACTGGACAACAAACATAAACTGGACCCTATAAATAATAGGGGCGAGAAAAGCCTATAAGGTCAGGCTTTGCCTCAGGACAGCCTCTTCTGGTCAGTAAGCCCCCACATGCTTGATCCAGTTTCAGGCTAAAGGGCCTCTTTTCCTCCCCGATCCGGGCGATCCCAGGAGACTATGGCTACAAGCAGGTGTGGGGACTTTGGAGGCGTCAGCCTGGAAGTCGGTCTGAGGGGACTTTTCCCTCTAGCCTCCCTATTTCAACCCCTTCCCCCTGGCACAAACCTAGCAGTGTGTGAGTCTGCCTCCTCAGTTTTTCCCTTTGTAAAATGGGGACCTGCAGGGAGACTGTGGCCATCTTACCTCCTCCAACCCTGGCTGGGATGCCACAGTGGTCCAGGGTAGCCCCCACTGGCATGGCCATCCCTTTGTCCTTGAGTCAGCCTCTGAAGCCGGCCCTTGTCCATTGTCTTGGGGTGGCACGTGGCTATTGTAAGGCAGAGCTGAGCCCAGCACTGCCAGGCACCCCACAAAGGGCACTGTCCCCCAAAGGAGAGAGGAAGCTTTCGGGTCTAGAGCTGAGGTTGAGAGGGAGGGGAGCGGCCTCTCTTCTAAGCTGGAACTGGTCTCTACAGAGGAACCAGCCATTCTCTGCCCACCATCCCTGTGGTTCCCAGTTCAGGCCAGATCCCCTCCGGCATTGGTGGGTAAAGCCCAGCTCCAGGCAGAGGGGACAAAGGGCAACTGAGGGGTGCTTCCCCCTCGATGTCCCTCACATTTGCAATCTGAGTGTCCTCCCATCCTACATCACCTGGCCCCTCCTAGACTCCCTCCACCCATACACAGCATCCACTGGCAGGTTTATCCTTCTCCCCTGGGCCCAGGCCCAGGCTCTGGTGTGGTTCATTGTCTGGAATAAGAGGGAGTCAGGTCAGCTGTACTGAGCTCCGGGCAGTGAGCCCTGGGAGTGAGCACTCCCAACGGAGTCTGCTTGTCAGTCCCAGAGCTCCCTGACCTGCAGTGGCAGGAGGCATGGAGCTCCCTGCTGGTTCTTGTGCATGGCTGGCAGCTCCCTTCTCTCCTCCCTCCTGCCCTCTTGCCCCTGCCCCTCTGAATCTAGGCGCTCTCCTGGAATCCTGTGCCACATTCTCCTCTCAGCTCTGATGCCTCTATCTGCTCCCCTTAGTCAGTCTGACTTTCTGGCCTTTGGGGGAATCCCTGACCCTGGGCTTGGCCAGACCCCCAGGAAGGGCAGCCTCAGCCAGCACCTGATTGAGCGGGGGCTCAGGACTGGAGCTACTCAGTTCTCAAGAGCTCTTGTTAGGCTTCAGGGCTCCCGGGAGTTGCTCCTGGACCCTAGGGCCTCTCCTGGCATCTCAGACCTGTGTGTGTGAACAGGTGAGGGAGGGAGGGAGGATGAATACTTCTGGCTTGGCTGCTTCTTTGCCTTTTAACCACAAGCACTTTCCTCTCTTCCTCTTGCCTTCTCCTGTCTTCCTCCTTCATTCTTCCCTTCCTGCCTCCTGCCCGCCTACCCCACCCCACCCCACCCCCCCAGATCAAGCGCTTCCTGGAGGAAACGGATGATATAAGTCTGAACAAGTTCGTGAAGGATTTCCCAGGAAATGAGAGCTGCCACCAACCAGAGGCCAAGACCTGGGTGTCCAGGCCCCAAGTTCCGGAGCCAAGGCCCCAGGCCCCAGACCTCTACCAAGATGACCTGGATTTCAGAACCCCCCTGTGGCCCCAACCCTCTGACAGCCAGCAGTACTTCCCTGCCTCAGCCCCTCTCAGCCCCTCAGCCTCAGCCTCAGCCCGGCCCCGCAGCCCGTGGGGCAAGCTTGATCCCTATGACTCCTCTGAGGTAGAGACACCAGTCCTGTCCTTACTTTTCAGTGGGCTGGTGCAGGAAGACCCAGGGAGGGAGCAGAGAGAACCCGGTGTGAGCGCGTGCATATGCACATTTGTGCGCATGTGTGGGTGCACACTAGTTCATGCATGTTGAGCTAGGGCTTCTCTCTGTCCTGTGTGGCCCCAGCTCTGTGAGTTGGCCCCAATATGCATTGAAAACTGACAGTATCAGCAGGATCAGCAGCCCAGCTGGTAGGGTCTGGCCCTGCTCCTCTAAGGCTGGGCAAAGACTGAGGAGGGAGGGAGAAGGCCCGTGTTAGGTCCTGGGGCCCCTGCTGTCTCTCGCTCTCCCTGATACACTCCATCTCCCCGACACTAGGATGACAAGGAGTATGTGGGCTTTGCGACCCTCCCCAATCAAGTTCACCGCAAGTCCGTGAAGAAAGGCTTTGACTTTACCCTCATGGTGGCAGGTAAAGTGGGGGCCGGGTTGGGCTGGGCTGGGGTTTTTCAGGTGGGGATGGTATGTATGTGGTAGAGAAGGGGAAAGCAGCAAGCGCCTATACCTTTTTGCAAAATAGCTAGGAGCCATGGGTGCCCGAAATTGTGCTCGGGGTAAAGTGGTGCAAAGAACACTTCACCAACAGGTTTCTTTTGTTTGCCTTTTTCTGGGGGACCTTGGGCAGTCTCTGACCCTCTCCGGGCCTCATTCAAATGAGAAGGCTGGACAAGCTGTTCTGTTTCCTTTCAGCTCTAAAATGCCATGGTTTGGTTCATCTCATCCCAATTAAATAAGCAGCAGCTTCCCTCACACCTTGATCTAGTGGGGTTGCCTCTTGGCTACAGATCTCATCTTCTGACTTGGTACTTCTGTCCTCTCTCCCCCATCAGGAGAATCTGGCCTGGGGAAATCCACTCTTGTCAATAGCCTCTTCCTCACTGATCTCCACAGGGACCGGAAACTCCTCAGTGCTGAAGGTAAGGAAGCAAGGGAGCATGACCAGTAGGCAGACCTGACTTAGGAAAACAAACTCATTCCAGAGTCTGGGGGATGGGGCCTTCCCCGGCATACAGGAAACCACGGCTTCTAGACTGACAGCATCTCTCTACAGGCCTATCTAGCCTGGCAGCCCACCAGCCAGCTCCCTAAAGACTTGGGTGCCGAGGCAGGGCAGGGACCAGAATCCTGCCCTTTGAGTGAGTCTCTGACCCCCAAAGGATTCCAGGAATCCAAGAAAAGAGCAGAGAGCAGCAAGAGGCTGGGGCCTGAGCCAACAGCCACCGGCATTTCCTGTGTTGGGAAATGTGCTCCTTGCTGGTTCCCAGAGAACAGGCCCCCGGCAGCCTCGGGCTTGGAAGGGGGGCAGTGTGGATGAGGCAGTCTGGGCAGCCGAGCTGGTTGGGGTGGGCAGTTTATCCTGATGGGGCAGGTCCTTGCCCTGGCCTCAGTTTCCCTCTTCTCCAGAGAGGATCATGCAAACTGTGGAGATCACTAAGCATGCAGTAGACATAGAAGAGAAGGGCGTGAAGCTGCGGCTCACCATTGTGGACACACCAGGCTTCGGGGATGCAGTCAACAACACAGAGTGGTATGTCTGACCAAGCACAACCCCAGCTGCCTCCCCACCTACCACCTGTTCCATACACACACCCAGGTGCACACGTATTCAAAATTGTTAGGAGGAAGAGGGTTGTGACCTTGAGCATGCCACGGCTCCTTTCTGGAAGCTGTCTGTGTAAAGCGAGAGGGAAAGGATTGGAATAGATGATCTCTAATGTTCCTTCTGACTCTGACCCATCATTCTATAATGGGAGTGAGGACACAAGATAAGAAAGAAGAGCCTCAAACAAGCAAACACACGTGAAAACAGGTAGAACAGGGCCCGGCATATAGCAAGTGCTCAATAAACATCACCCTACCTTCTTCCTCTCCTTTTACAGCAACACTTTAGGTGCCGCAAACAAGAGTTATTAAAGGGGTGAGAGTGGAATGGAGGGAGGAGTAAATGGAAGGGGAGAAAGAAGAGGCAGAGGAGGAAAGTGGAACTTCGTTTCAACTCCAGGCACACTCTAGGCTACCGGCTAAAAGACAGGGTGGCTTTGCCATACCATCTCCCACCCCATCATCCCTGCTTTTTGTTTTGTGTGTGTGTGTGTGTGTGTGTGTGTTTTTTGTTTGTTTTTTTTTTTTTTTGGTTTTTTCAGCAACTGGAGGGATAATGGTCAGATCTGAGTGAGTAGATGAGGAGGAGAATGAGTGATAAACACAGGAGAAAGGGTGGTGCCTTTGATGAAGAAGTTAGGCAGGCTGAAACCGGTTTGGCTCAGTGCATAGAGCGTCGGCCTGCGGACTGAAAGGTCCCAGGTTCGATTCCGGTCAAGGGCATGTACCTGGGGTGTGGGCACATCCCCAGTAGGAGATGTGCAGGAGGCAGCTGGTCGATGTTTCTCTCTCATCGATGTTTCTAACTATCTCTCTCCCTTCCTCTCTGTAGAAAATCAATAAAATATATTAAAAAAAAAAAAAAGAAGTTAGGCAGGGCAGTGCTAAGACCTCTAGATGGAGAGTTCAAGTCTTGCAAAGTCTTGAGCAAATAACTGCATCCCTACTTCTTCCATTGAAAAACACTGGCCTTTACCCCTCACCCAGCTGATCTGAAAATCATCTAGGTCAGTGATGGTGAACCTATGACACGCGTGTCAGAGGTGACACGCGAACTCATTTTTTTTGGTTGATTTTTCTTTGTTAAATGGCATTTAAATATATAAAATAAATATCAAAAATATACATCTTTGTTTTACTATGGTTGCAAATATCAAAAAATTTCTATATGTGACACGGCACCAGAGTTAAGTTAGGGTTTTTCAAAATGCTGACACGCCGAGCTCAAAAGGTTCGCCATCACTGGCCTAGAATGATGCATGTAAATGTACATTGGAACCTGTAAAGGGCTGTTTACATTATACTCATGAATTTTAAGATGATAATTGCAGGACCAGTGCAAAATTAAAATGTGGGGCCCCTTGTTCGAAATTATTAAGAACTTCTAGATGGCCACAGAGAATCAAACCAGTGCACCCCCGCCCCTGTGTGACTACACAGGTTGCACGCCCATGCAGCTGACCCTGGATAATCACCTCACAGGCTAATCAGACCCTTACAGACCTTTCTGTGCTCTGAACCTTCATTACATTCGTCATCATCACAGCATGGACTTTGGCTCAGCACACTGGTTCATCTTCAGTTTCACAGTCTAAGCCTTGAGGGAAGGGCCATTTCTTACATTCTTCCGGCATCACTGTGCTAGTGCATGTTTTGTGGTCTCCACAAATATTCCTGATGGATTGAGGTGGCCTCCATGTCAACATCACTCTTCCTGCTCTAGGAATACGTCTCCGCAAACTGGGCTTGCCCTGCAACTCTAGCTCCAACCAATACCTGGTTCCTACTGTACCATCCCCTCCTCTTATTGTCCATAATAATAATATTGTATTTGTCTGGCATCTCACAGCTGACTGTGCTCCGTGCTCCTCCACATATACTCATTTAGTCAACCAGCAAGAATTTATTGAGCATATACTAGGTGTCCAGCCTGTGTTCGACGTTTTAAGGGATGCAGAACAAGTATGAATGATCATTGTCCCCAAAATGCTTGTAGTCTAGAGGCAGTGGTGAGTGGGGAGCAGTAGTTCTCTAATATGTGCATCAGTTGGGTAACAAATTAGTAAATGGGTCAGGCAATGTAGTGATAAACACACTGAGCTGAAAATCAGAAAGCCAGGGACCCCGTTGGGTAGAGAATTTCCCAACAAAGATGATCAGGATCAAATCTCTTAGCTGCTCTGGATTTAGTTCCTTCATGTATAAAATGACAGTGACGATGCTCAGAATGTCCTCTAATCAGGTCACCTATCGGTGAGGATTCAATGAGATAAAAGAAGAGGAAAGTACTGGAAAATTGAGGTTCTTGAATCTATATCTATAGATATATAAATTTGTATGTGCCCCCATTCTCTTTACCACAGAGTGAGATTATATAATCTCTCTATAATATATATTTTCAAGAACCTCAGTTTTTCTACCTATCTATCTATTTACCTACCTACCTACCTATCATCTATCTCACTGTGGGGTGAAGAGAAGGGGAGAGTGTGCGTTAGTGTAATCAAAGGAGACTTGGTGGAAAAGATGGTTCTTGGATATGGCCTTGAAGGATGGAGTAGGTTTGAAGAGGTGGAGGAGAGGCTGGACCATGAACCTGACTTAGGGCTGCCTTGGTTTCCCCCAGTTGCTTTGCCACCTGGACTCTTTTCCTCCCATCAAATTAGTATTTATTGAACCCTGCCTCTGTGCTTAGCCTGTTTTCTGTCAGGACATGGGATGCACCCCTGTCCCACCAGGGACCTCTCTGAAGTAGTGAAGCAAGCCAGGGAATAACCAAGTCTTGAAAACACTGCTCAGGGTGGGGGCTACTCTGCAGCCCCAGAGCTCACTCGGCAGCCCCCACTCCCACAGTTTCTCTGCTTGTCTGTCCCTGCTCCAGCTGGAAGCCTGTGGCAGAATACATCGACCAGCAGTTTGAGCAGTATTTCCGAGATGAGAGTGGCCTGAACCGCAAGAACATCCAAGACAACAGGGTGCACTGCTGCCTGTACTTCATCTCACCCTTCGGCCACGGGTATGGTCCGAGCCTGAGGCTCCTGACAACACCGGGTGCTGCCAAGGGAACAGGCCAAGAGCACCAGGGGCAGGGCTGCCACAAGCAGGTGGTCACAGATTCCTGTTCCCCAGGCTCCGGCCATTGGATGTTGAATTCATGAGGGCCCTGCATCAGCGGGTCAACATCGTGCCTATCTTGGCTAAGGCGGACACACTGACACCTCCTGAAGTGGAGCACAAGAAACGCAAAGTGAGGGGAGCTGGTGCAGGGAGGGGAGCAGGTGGGCTTCTGGGAAGGATGGGGTCCCCAGAACTGTGGGCCCCTCATGTGTTTGCCAGATCCGGGAGGAGATAGAGCACTTTGGAATCAAGATCTACCAGTTCCCAGACTGTGACTCTGATGAGGATGAGGACTTCAAATTACAGGACCAAGCCCTAAAGGTGTGGCCACCCCAGGGCATCCCTTTCCCATCTTGTTTCTTCTGGGAAGAACAAAGAAGTAGAATTTTATATAAGGGTGGGTTGTTTGGGGTGGGAGGACCCTGGTTTCCTAGAGAGGAACAGAAATGATGGAAGACATAGGTGGAAAGGAACAGGTGAGAATGGGGGCAGGGGGGTGTTGACAGACACCCCAAACTTCTTCCAGGAAAGCATCCCATTTGCTGTAATTGGCAGCAACACCGTGGTAGAGGCCAGAGGGCGACGAGTCAGGGGCCGTCTCTACCCTTGGGGCATCGTGGAAGGTAAAGCACTGAGCTTGTGACCAGGGAACCTCCTTGCCCTCAGTGACTCTCCCCTACCCATGCCCCTGGCTGACCCCTAGCCTTGCTATGCAGTGGAAAACCCAGGGCACTGCGACTTTGTGAAGCTGAGGACAATGCTGGTGCGTACTCACATGCAGGACTTGAAGGATGTGACACGGGAGACACATTATGAGAACTACCGGGCACAGTGTATCCAGAGCATGACCCGCCTGGTGGTGAAAGAGCGGAATCGCAAGTATGGTCAAAAGCCAGGGCAGAGCTGGCAGGGGGGGAATCCCAAGCACAACTCTGGGTGAGACTGAGCCCTTCCTCTTCTACAACACCTCAATCCAAGCAGGTGTTGGGGTCCCCTTAGCCTTACCAAGCCCCCTTTCCCTTTCCCTTAGCAAATTGACTCGAGAGAGTGGTACCGACTTCCCCATCCCTGCTGTCCCACCAGGGACAGATCCAGAAACTGAGAGGCTGATACGAGAGAAAGATGAGGAGGTGAGAGCGGTATGGGGTTGACAGCCTGGGAGGTCCCCTGCTTGATCATAAACCTTAGTGTCTCTTGGTTTGGGAATAGGAAGATCCCTGGCTCTGGTGCATATCTGTGTCCTGCATTGGTGGATTAGTGGTTCTACCCAGGGTCTCTGGCACACCCCAGGCTACCCCTGGCTCAAGGGATCAGAGCGTAGGAACACTTCCCCAACATGATAGGACTCTCTAAAAGTACCCATTTTGATGCCATGTGCCTGTTCCAGCTGCGGCGGATGCAGGAGATGCTGCACAAAATCCAAAGACAGATGAAGGAGACCCACTAGCTGATGGTCAGCCCTGGATATTTAAATCTTCTCCTCTTCGTTTTGCCCATGCCAGCCCCTTCCAGCACCAGCTCTGCTCAGGCCCCTGCAGCTACTGCCACTTCGCCTTACATCCCTGCTGCCTCCCAGAGACTCAGAGGAAATAAAGTTTAACAAATATATAGTGGCTCCCGGTGTCACTGTCTGTATCTCTACCACCTCCCGGAGATCAAGAAGATCCTAGGACCCAGTTTTGACAGGCTTCTGGAGGAGGGTGCTGGATTATGGCGTCTAGTAGGGAAGGGGGGAGGAGGGGAAATTTCCTCCCCCATGACAGGCTTCAGTCCCTGCCTAGAATAGTCTGGCCCCTCTTTTTTACTCACCAATCTCTCTCCTGCCTCTCCTATCTGGGCCTGGGCCTCTCCATTTTCCCCACATAGTACATTCAGTTCTATGGAGTTTTGGATCTGATATCTGCCTTTGGGAAAACATGGAATTGACTTCATGCAGCCTCCTGCCTTCCTGTTTCCCCTGATTTGGGGAAAGGGATACACAGAATTAAGCTCTGTACGCTAGGAAGCTGTGACAGAGCACTGAGCACATGTGGAAACCGCTGTCATCACCAAACACTACCGTAAACGCTGGGAGTGAACCGAGAAGCCACTGCCCTGGAAGAGCTCAGCATTTAACTAATGCTTATCAGGCATCTCCTAGGATGCAGACACTGTTCTAGACCCAGCCCAGGTTCCTGTTCTCACGGCGTTTACTAACTGCAGGAGAAGTTCCAGCGTTCTATAAGCAGACACGTGAAGACATTTTGGCTGCGGGAGCTGGCATTAAAGCACTGGGGCCCACTCCAAACTCAAGCCATCTGTTGAGACTCTGAATCAACAACTGTTCTCCATTTCTGTCAGGGTTCGTGGTACCCGCGGCCACGACGCCCCCCAGCGGCCACCCTCCGCCCCGCGGTCCGGCCTGGCTCCCCAGGAGAGGAAGGGCGGAGCGAAGAGCCGGGTCCTCGGGACAGTCCCATTCACCACTCCCAGCACAGACTACTAGGCGGTGGCCGCTAGCTAATGGCAGTCTCAGGTCCGGATTTCCTCTCTCAGACGTGAGGTCTTTAACTCAGGAGTGACAGAGGAGCCATGCAGGTCATGAAGGACGGCAGGGCCCGTTCGCCGATGAAAAGTGAGGGTCAAAACGCGGAAGAGGGAAAACCCCGCCGCAGACGGAGGAGAGAGAGAGAGAGACGGAGCCTCAGGCCCAAGCCCTCCTCCTTCTCTTAGCCTGCAGGGCCTCTCCTCCCTTTCCGCTTTGGGACGGGATGGCCGCCGCGAAACCAAGACGGGAAATGGATAGACTGAGGGGGGACAGGAGACCTTTCTGACAAATATTCCCAAGGAGAGGTCGTCACCGGAAGTGACTGTAAAGGCCTATGACCCTACAAGGCCCCGCCTTCAATTGCGCTACCAGTAGGCGACGGGCCTCTCCTACTTCCGGCCCCTGGAGCCTTAGCCAGCAGCCCCGCTTTTATTGCTTTCCCATTGGCTGCCGCAGGGACGCGCTGTGATTTCCCATTGGTCGCATCTCTTCTCCAGTCCCGCGCCTCATCCCTCCAGGTACAGTCTTGTCTTCGGGCACCCGATAGGGTAAGGTTGGGAGGGCGTCTGCCCAACTTGACCAATGAGCGGCGTGAAGGGTGAGGGCGGTGGCTGCGTGGTGAAGACAGGGCGGGACTTGGGGTGGCGATTGGCCAGGGCGGGCACAGACGAGGGATACGATTGGTTGGGGAGAGGGGCACCGTGGTGGGGTTGTAGCTGCGCGGCCTCAGCAGCTGCGGGAGACGGAAGTGGTGAGAGCGCGGCCTCGGAGGGTCGGGCGGACGCCGCCTGGGTGAGTCACCGTGCCCCGTGCACTCCCAGTCTGGGAACCGCAAAGACCGCGTCTTACCCGGCTCCGCCCCGACCCCACCGGCTTTCGTGAGCCCCGCCCTCTGTCATTCGGGGCTCCGCCTCCGGGCCCTTAGGCTCCGCCCCTAGAACCTGGGCACCTGGGCTCCCCTGCCACCCTGGCCCGCCTCCCCCCGACACCCCCAGGGCTAGATCCCTTAGGTCTAGGAACCCTGGGCCTCCCAGACTTGGTCCATGTTTCTCCCTCCGTTTCCCTGAGGCTGCGTGCCAGTGGGCGGTGAGGCAGCACCTTTGGCGTGCCGCTTGCTGGCTGTCCCATGAGGAAGCGTGGGCTGTGATCAGGGTGGTGGGCAGGAATACAGATGGAGGCTTTTATCCTGCTCCCTGGGAAGAAGCGGGTACTACGAGACTGCCCGAGCTCAGAGAGCAGGCATGAAAGAAAGTGTCAGTGAAACCGGGCCTTGCGCCCTCAGTGGGCCATGAAGGCCCATCCTGAAATTTGTTGCTTGTGCCCATTTGACAGGTACTGTCTCCGAGGCCTGATTCTGTCCTTACTGTGGGCCTCCTCTCTCTAACCCACTTAGTGTCAAGTAGCTGTGCAGCCCCGCTGCCTTCTGATCACAGGTTGTGTTCTCCTCCCTCTGCCCTCTGCCTTGGACTCTGCCCCCAGTAGACAGGTCAGGTGGGTACTACTCCCAGTCTCAGAGGCCAGCAGAGCATTCCCGTGGATTCATGTCCCCACCAGGGCCAGGAGTGAGTCCTGGTTGAGCAGCCTCTGTCTCGTCAGAGGTGGCAGTTCTTTTGCTCTCCCGTAAAGAACAGGGGGTTGGAGTGTTTTGCACTTCTTCTGGGCTTGGAAATCAGGACTCTTGAATTCTGCTGAATAATCTTGGATGATACTTACTCTTGCTCCAGAACTTCGTGGCTGACTTCATACCCTGCAGAATCACTTGTTGCTTTCTCCCCGTGTACCTGCCATTGCCTCTGTCTGGCATGGTGACTTGTAGAGAGGCCGGACTCTCGGTGAGGAATGAGAATAAGGATTGTAGAGAAGTTCAGGAGTAGATGTATATGTATAGCATTTGTTGATTCCATGGTAATGTTAATGGTGTTCTTTACTCTTATGTCTCCTTACAGTGAAAAGCAGGCAGCCAGGACCCTCACCACGGTAGAATGGTGAGTACTCTCTTCTCCCACAGAATTTGTGTGTTCTGTCATCCTTGTGTCTTTCTCCGTGAAGCTGCCCACCCCTCCTGGACCTTGAGCTCCAGGCTACTCTGTTCAGGCCCTAAACAGGTTCATCTGCTCAGGAGATAAACTAAGTTTCTTTAGATTGTAAAACATCAGCCGGTATACGACACTGGGACAGGGAGCCTTTAGAAATCGTTTTCTGCATATGTTATGCCTTCACCACGCTACCACTGGCTCTCTTAGCCTTTCACAATGGCCTTTCTCTGGGATCCCTGGTAGAAGCTCTCTGTTCTGGTCTGAAAAGCCAGGCCTCCTTTATCTCAAGATCCTGTACTTCCTAGTGGGGCCCTTGAATATTGTGGGCGCTATGTCAGGAGTGGCCTCTCCAAAACTGTGGGGCTTCTCCAGCTCCAAGGTGCTGCTGTCCATTAAGCTCCTGCAGGCAACAGGTGACTGGATACATGGCAGGATAGCACGCTCAGGGTGCCCAGAATATCGCGGGGAGTGGTTATAATGTTCCCTTGTGTTTTCTATTAACTGTAACTGCATACTTTCTTCTAAGCCTGAAGTCTCTCAGTAAAACAAGATAAGGCTTACTTTTTGGGGAGTTGAAAGGTTTTAGTGAGATAAAATGTAGATGCTTAATAAAATGTCAGGTTTTCTCCCATTTCTCCCATTCCCTTCCTCCAAAACCCAAACCCAAATCCAAACTAAAACCTTGAAAGTTACCAGGCACAAGAAGTGTGGGGTTCCAGCCAGCTCCTTCTTTGACTCTTGGGGACATTTTGAGCCTCTTATCACTGCTCCTTGCTCCGTGGCCCTCTACCCAACTCCCACCAGGCCCATACCCGTGGGTTTCAAGTTTTGTTTTTGCAGTCCACAGTTCTAGCCTTTCTCTGTCTCAACCTGAGAAATCCTTTCTCTTCCAAGAAAGACTTTCTTACCCAGAAGTCTGAGAATGTGAGACAGGGCAGAGAAGGAGCGGAATGAGTAGGACTGGGCAGAGGCCTTGGAATAAAACACAGAATTTCTCTTTCTGGAGTGTGGAATGACCAACCTAGCACTAGCCCAGTGTCCATTTTAATGGGCAAAAAAGGGAGTGGGATTTAGTGAGGTCGGGGGATGGGAGGACCCTGATGGACAGGGGTCCGATGGGTGGTGGTTTTGGAGGGAAATGACGAAGCCTTGAAACTGGAAAGAACATGAGGTGGATGTAGGTGAACTCCATCGTGGGAATTCACAGGCATTGAGGGAACTCAGCGGTGGGGTGGTGGGGGGAGGGGGCACAGGGCCGGATTTGTAACAAGAGGGATGTGGGGTGGCTCACCTGGGAAGATGGGAAATGAAAAGATGTAGGCGTCTCGCCTTCCCCTTTCCCGCGGTCTGTGGACAGCCCCGCAACCCAGCCTCCCGAAAGCCCCTAGATATCCCGGAGGACCCCCTCCCACGCCGAGGGGCTGCGGGGAGGGAGGAGTCTGTGCATCTGGGTGGGGCCGAGGACCCGGCCCGCCCCCGCCTTCCTCCGCGCGGTTTCGGGCGCTTCCCTCTCTTGGCTCCCCTCCCTTTCGCGCGCGTGTCGGAGGGCGGAGCTGGGCTCGCTCCATTGTGGAGAGGAGGGAAGAGGCGCGCGGGAGTCCCGCCGAGGCCCCGCCGCCAGCGCGCTTGCCTCCTGGCCTCCGCGGCTGCACCTGGCGGGCCCCACAGCCGGGATGCGGCGAGCGCCCGGGACTGGCGGGCAGCGCAGCGGCTCCGGGGACATGTGCGCTGGCCCAGACCTCCCGCGACCATGAGCCTGACCGCCCGCGTCTCCTGCTCTATGCTTAGCTGCTTTGTAAGTGCCGGCCCGCCTGCGTGGGCCCGGGGCCCCAGCGCTTGCTGCACCCGCAGCCCCGCCCAGGGCCAGCCCTCGAGATTCTGAATTTCAGCCCATCCCCCTTCTCAAGGATTCTGGCAGGAGAAGGGGGGTATTCTTTTTCTTTCTTGGATTTGCTTTGATCTTCGGGTGTTGGGGGTTGTCGAAGCCCGGGGATGGAAATTCTGTGATTCGTGCTGGTCCCGCAGCCACTGCCCTTGACTGCAGATCTCCAGGCCCCGCCCTGCAGGGGTACATCCCTTTCCCTCCGCCTCTCCATCTTGGTCCCACCCGCTGCATTCTTGCTAGGGGCTGTGGGATGTGGCTAGTAGGCTGCCTGGGATTTTAGGGGGCTGGTTGGGGGACACAGGATGTCTGAGCTGTCTCCCTGGCTCCAGTCCCCTCCCCCTTCCACCACTCCTTCCCTCACCTAACACGCCAGTCTTTTCTCCTTGACTGTCCCCCAGACAGCCTCTGTTCTCCATCTTCCCTGACTCTGCAGGCCTCCGTACCTCTGCATCATTTCCAGCCCTCCCCTCCTCCCCTCTGGCTAATGCTCCTTCCCAGCTTCCCCATCTGTCCTCTCAGATGTTCCCACCCTCACCTCCTCACCCGCTGTGGGTGTCTGCCAGGCCTCTCTACCCTGGTTGTCCTTGGGTCTCCCTGTGTCTTCTAGGTGTGCGGATCCCCTCTTTCCCCTCCCTGGTGGTTGGGAGAGTGACTTCTGCTCGCTGTGGGTATCCTCAGGAATTCCCCTCTGATCAGCAGGCAGGGCAGGTGGCTTGGTGGGTGTTGGGGGCTGCTTAGCAGTGTGGGCCTAACTGGAAGATAAGCTCAGCTCCAAACATGTCCTCCTTTGGAAAGCACCCATGACGGCCCTCTAGAGGCACAGCACTGAATCCCCTGGCCCACTCCTCTTTGTCTCCTTCGCCCACCAGGTTGAAGCCTCAGCGGCTTAGGTGCCTGCTTTCCCTCTTGTCTCTAACCGGCTGCCACACCTGGTTCCTTTTCCTCAGGGCAGCACTTTCCATTCCCACTTCTGTCTTACCTGTACGTTAGTCTTTCTTTTTCTTAGGTTTCTCTCCTCCACGGGGGAAATTTTGGTTCTATAGGAGATCCCCCCTTTGAGGAGTATAGATTCCTTTCTCTTTGGACCTTACTCTTCCCTGAGGCTTACTAGGCTTGAGTACCCCCTTCACCCTACCCCTCTCACCAAGCCAGGCCTCCTTTCCATCCTCTGGTGACCAGGACCTTTATCAGTGTCCATGAGCTATAAGTGGGTTTACTGAGGGGAAGGAAGTAGAACGAGGCCTGAGGGGTCAAGTGGAGCTGGTGACTTAGGACTGAGGCCTTCCCCACAGGGTGAGGAGGGGCCCCCCAGCCTGGAGTACATCCAAGCCAAGGATCTGTTCCCCCCCAAGGAACTAGTGAAAGAGGAGGAGAATCTGCAGGTAAGGAGGAGTTGGGGGCCCAGGGTGGGTGGAGCTCCCTGCCTGGTTAAAAAATACCCTCCCTCCCCCCAAGTATCTCTAAGGGATCTAGTACCAGAGTTCTGGCTTCCTGCTCCCCAGTCTCTGAAGGTAAGGCAGTCTGTGGAGTCTGTCTGCATTGCATTATGGAGCCTTTGGCCCCAGGGAAGGCAAGGCAGCTTTCCTGTATAGCTGTTGCCTGGTACTGTTACTATGGAGAGGACTCTTCTGTCCTGCCTCGGCCCAGCTTTTCTAGAGGGATTCCCACAGGTCAGGGGCTGGAGAGGGGAATGGAAGAGTGACTCAGATCTGGACTGAAGGATGCTCTGCCCCTTGCCAGGTGCCCTTCACAGTGCTGCAGGGTGAGGGAGTGGAGTTCCTGGGCCGGGCAGCTGATGCCCTCATTGCCATCTCCAACTACCGGCTGCATATCAAATTCAAGGATTCTGTCATCAACGTGAGTACCTGTCTTGTTCTCCCACAACCAAGCCAGAATCCCTGTGAGGTGCAATGTGGAATTGCCCCAATGCTGTACTTGATCACGTCTCCAAGAAGTTGGGGTTCCCTTCTTTTTCCCACTAACTTTTTGTTTTCCTGCCTCATTCTTCCAGCTATAGGTCTTCTGTCTCAGTTATTCTCTCTTCCTCTCTTCTCTCTTCCCCTTATTCTGTTGCTGGATTTCTAAGGGGCATAGTGGAATTGTTGGAAGTTTGCCAACTTGCCAGCTATATGTCCTTGGTCAAGTCACCCATCCGAGGCCCAGTTGCCTTCTTAATAATATGAGGTGAAAAGACTTGCCTTGCAGGGTTCTTGTGATTATTAACTGGGGTCACATATGTAGAGGACCCAGCACAATTAGCAGGAACTTAATAGGCACTCAGTAAATGTCGGTTTCCTTTCTTCTGTTAATGTATCAGCATCTGGGCTGGGGGGGGGGGGGGGTGAAGAGTGCTGTGGACAGTGGGGATCTAAGCTTTCAGTTTGCCCTTCCTCTCTAAAGGTCCCCCTCCGGATGATTGACAGTGTGGAGAGCCGTGATATGTTCCAGTTGCACATTGCCTGCAAGGACTCCAAAGTGGTGAGGTGAGAACAACGGGGCCTCACTCAGGTCCTCTCACCCTAATCTTGCCCTAACCTTTCTGCTGCAGGCTTCCTGTGGAGCAAGAAAGGAAAGGTAGTGCCTCACTTTTGCAAATTTGAAATAAAAGGTGAAAACCTTATTTGGGTTGGGTGGTCAATTTTCTGACCCACAGTATCTTGACCTGAAGAAATGGGGATAATACTTAGCTCATGGGGTTGTCATAAGGATTATATGTGGTAATATGTAGGAAAGCACATAGAATGATAACCTTTATTGTTGGTTCATTTGTTTGTTCAGACTGTTCTAAGCACTGGAGATAGTACAGGGAATAAGTAGACAAAATTTTCTGCCCTCATGGGGCTTATATATATTATAGTGGGGAGATACTAGCAGTGAATAAAATATGTTACGTGTTGCTAAGTGTAAAGGTAAAAGATATAGCAGGGAAAGAGGATATGGAGTGCTATGTGGGTGAAGATTGTAGCTTTAGACAAAGTGCTTTGGGAGACTGCAATGAAAAGGTGACATTTGAGTCAAGACCTGAAGAAAGTGACCATGTGGATATTTTGGGGAAGAGTGTGCCAAACAGAGGTAATTGAGTGCAGAAGCCCTGGGGTGAGTTTGTACCTGGCATGTTGAAAGAATGATGAGGAGGTTAGCTTGGCTGGAATGGAGTGCATGTGGGTGAGGGTACTGGGATAGAAGACTTGAGAGGTCAGGGGGGTGCCAGGCTTTCATATGACTGCCTTTTACTTTGAGGGAAATGAAAAACCACTAGAGGGTTCTGAGCAAAGGAGTGATGTGATCTGATTAATGTTTTATAGAATCATGCTGGCTGCTATATTGAGAATAGTTGGAAGGGGACAGGGGCAAAAGCAAGGGCAAAAGCTGAAAAACTAGTTAAGCTATTGCAGTTACCCTGGTGAGAGATCATGCTGGCCTGTGTAGGGCGGTAGCTGTACTATTCTCAAAACTGAGAAGCGGTCAGATTTTTTAAGGCAGAGATGACAGGACTTGCTTACAGATTGGATATGTGAAAAAGGAGTCTGGGATGACTCCAAGGATTATTAAAAGAATGCCCAGTTTAGAGCCTGCCATGTGCTCAGTCTATAGGGATTCAGGAGGAGAATCCACATTGCCCTTCCCTTCAAGGAGGTTAAAGTCTAGTTCTGAAGGAAGATTTGACATGTGGCAGTATGCTGTGGAAAAACTTGCTGTTTCATACTCCTAGCACATTAAGAATAAGAAAGGAAGAATCTGTGGAATGGAGTAGGCTGGGAAGGTTTCAAGGAAGAGTCAGGACTGGAACTATCTTCAAAGGATCAGTAGGATGTGGCTAGGCTGAGGGAAGACATTATCGAGCAGAAGTGAAAAAAAACCAAGGAGACAGGAATAGTATGAGCAAGACTTTCTGCCTGAAGCAGAAGGTTAGTGTTAAGGAGTCATGAGGGAGAACACAAAGAGTAGCAATTTTCAGGGCCATGTGAGAGCCTTCAGATTTGAAATGAGCAATGTTGGGGCCCTACTAGAGGAGACAGATGTGTCTCAAGGACAAGAGTTCTTGGGAAAAGAATTGTCACAAAGACAACTTCTCTTGGGTGTTGGTTAGTGTACTTGCTCCTCCCCAGGGTCTCTGTTACCGCCTGCTTTGCAGCCTCTTCTCCCCACAGCTTTCCTTGGCCGTTTTTGACCCTTTTGGCCCCATTGCACACCTGCCTCTTGCCTCACTCTGTGGATTCTTGCCTGGCAGGTGCCACTTCTCCACTTTCAAGCAGTGCCAAGAGTGGCTGTCACGGCTAAGCCGGGCCACAGCGAGACCTGCCAAGCCTGAGGACCTCTTTGCCTTTGCCTACCACGCCTGGTGCCTGGGGCTGACTGAGGAGGATCAGCATACCCACTTGTGTCAGCCAGGTCAGGCCAGGCTATTTTCTTTGTGGGATTTCTTATCTCTTGGTTCTCATCCCTCCCCCATCGCTGGACATGGTGCTCTTGGATGCTGACAGACGTGGGGGCTGTATTGCAGGAGAACACATACGATGTCGGCAGGAGGCTGAGCTGGTGAGGATGGGCTTTGACCTGCAGAATGTCTGGAGAGTCTCTCACATCAACAGCAACTACAAGTGAGAGGGCAGGGGATGGGGAACCAAACACCTTTCCAGACCCAGGCCCCTTGCACATATGATGAAGCATGGTGGGCATAGCTTCCCTGGCTCTGTGGGGAGAAGGGCTCCCCATCCCTTTTCCTACAAAGCCAGCCCTGGGGGTTATTACCTGTCTTAGATCAAGCTTGGTGACCCCATCTGGTCTCTCCTCAGATTGTGCCCAAGTTATCCCCAGAAGCTGCTGGTTCCTGTGTGGATCACAGATAAGGAGCTGGAGAATGTAGCTTCCTTCCGCTCATGGAAGCGGATCCCCGTGGTTGTGTACAGGTGAGGCAATGGGGGCTGCAAATAGGACGTTTTTTTATGCAATAAGGAAGGAATCAAAAGTGGCGGTTTGCAGCAGCGTGGTTGACTGAGAATTGACACCCTGCAAGGAAGGGGCTATGAACTAATTTAAAACAAAAACTGTCTCAGTTTCTTCTCTCCTAAGGCTGAGGCTTTTGGAGAATTTATTCAATTTCATTTTTTTTTTTGAGGATGTGTGTATGTATGTATAAAATACTGCATTAGAACAGGGGTTGGCAAAATGGCCTGTGAACCAAATCCAGCTTGAAGCCTGTTTCATGTGCAGCCTGTGAGCTATGAATTGTTTTTATATTTTTAAATAATTATTAAAAACAAAAACAGCCCTAGCTGGTTTGGCTCAGTGGATACCGTCAGCCTGCGGACTGAAGGGTCCCAGGTTTGAGTCTGGTCAAAGTAGGGGACGTGCAGGAGGCAGCCAGTCAATGATTCTCTTTCATCATTGATGTTTCTATCTCTCTTTCCCTCTCCCTCCTCTCTGAAATCAATAAAGATATATTTAAAAAGAAGAATTTGTGACAGAGACGGGCTGTGACCTGCAAAGCTGAAAATTTATTGTCTGGTTCTTTACCGAAAAAGTTTGCCGACCCCTGACTAGAGCATTGTAGCTAAATGGAGTGAGACGACAGGTGTTGAGGTGTGGAGTTGTTCATGCTCTGGGCTCAGGCTTGTTCTCCTGCTGGGTGTCTGTACCTGGAGCAGGTGCTGTGCAGGTTTGATGAGTCAAGGTCACCCTGGGAATATAGAGCCCATTTGAAAAATGTATGTGATAGTGCTTTGTAAACTATAAAGCCCTCTAGGGGCTTTTGGTTGCTATTTTCATGGCCTGTATGAACTAGTAGCTTCTGCTGGCTTTGGAGATCTTAGTCTGTCCCCCGGAGTCTCAGGGGGCTATGAATGCCAAGGGCATGATGGTTTTTTTCTGCTCTGTCAGACACCTACGCAATGGGGCTGCCATCGCCCGCTGCAGCCAGCCGGAGATCAGCTGGTGGGGCTGGCGCAATGCTGACGATGAGTACCTGGTCACATCCATCGCTAAAGCCTGTGCCCTCGATCCAGGGACAAGAGCCACTGGGGGCTCCCTCGGCACTGGGAATAGTGATGCCAGCGAGGCATGTGACACTGACTTCGGTAAGGTGTGGGTGGTGCTGGCCCTCTGGAGAGCAGGCCCCCACTTTGGCCTCATTGGCTTCCAGGGAGTCCTCAGTGAGAAGATGGGAAGAAGATGATAATATGCAGGGTGCCTGGTCCCTGCCTTTTGAGAGGCTGTAGGGTGAGAGGGGTTCCAAGTTGTATATTCTTTTGAAAGGGTGTACCCCAGTGTAGGGTGAGGCTGGGTGGCTGGCTGACCCAGGGTCTTCCCTGATGTGTTTTTAGATTCCTCCTTGACTGCATGCTCTGGAGTGGAGAGCACAGCGGCTCCCCAGAAGCTACTGATTCTGGATGCTCGGTCCTACACTGCGGCAGTGGCTAACCGGGCTAAGGGTGGAGGTTGCGAATGCGAAGGTATTGCTGTTCTCCCAATGTCTGCAGCCAGCCTGTGCTCAGGGTGGTCTTGGTGAGGAGCGAGCAGGGGCCCACTGTGTAAAAGATGCCAAACAAACCTCGCTTGGAATCAGGACTCTGCCACTTATTAGCTGTAACTATGCTTCAGTTCCTTAATCTAAGTTTTATTTTCTTCTCTGTAAAATGAGGATGATGCATACCTTGCAGAGTTGTTGGATGATTAGAGGTTACATCTATAAAATTGCTGGCACAGAGCAACTACTATTATTGAGAATTTACTCTACATTGTCATTACTAGTAATACTATGGCTATCATTTGTCATTAATATTATTACTACTATTAGTCTTTTGCATCTGAGTATTCAGAGATAAAAGGGTGATTGAGATTTCCAGAGTATATTTAGTTCCCATCCTGGAGTGTTCGCCCTGCTACGGAAGCTTTGCTCACTGGACTGCCCTTGTCCTGCATGCTGTTTCCAGGACATGCCATTATGCTCCACTCTCCTCTTTCATGCCTACAGAGTACTATCCCAACTGTGAGGTCGTGTTCATGGGAATGGCCAACATCCATGCCATCCGGAACAGCTTCCAGTACCTCCGCGCTGTGTGTAGCCAGATGCCAGACCCCAGCAAGTAGGTGTTCCCTGCTTTGATTCCATCCTTCCTCTCATCTCATCCCCCACCCAGTACTTCTTGTTATTGGAAGATTAGATGGGATATGGGAAGTGTGCAGGTGCAGGAGACCTGAGGGCCTGGGTGCAGTGAGCCACTTCCAAGAATACTTCTAGTTCTCAGCCAACACTCTGGCACGGCCATAGGACACTGGGTTCCTTTTGTTTGAGTCAGTTGTCTATTTAAAGAACACAGAGAACTGGGGACAGAAAGTGGCTAAATGTGCATGTGATGCTGCCTAGTTCTACTGTTCATCCTCAGAGTCTCTTGTTCGCCTCAGGTCCTGTCTTCCCTACCTTCCTGCTTGATAACCCTTGGAAGAAGGGTCATCAGCTGGGCTCTTGCTTCAGCCCTCACTGGGGACTTTGTTAGGTGTGGCTGGCCATGGTGGTGGAAAGACTGTTGTAGCCTCAGTGCTGTTAGTGACATACTTGATTTCTGCTCTTGTGTAGCTGGTTGTCAGCACTGGAGAGCACCAAATGGCTGCAGCACTTGTCGGTGATGCTAAAGGCAGCTGTGCTTGTGGCTAATACAGTAGACCGGGAAGGCCGGCCTGTGCTGGTGCATTGCTCAGATGGCTGGGATCGGACGCCACAGATTGTAGCCCTGGCCAAAATACTACTGGACCCATATTACAGGACATTGGAGGTATTGAGAGGGGTGGGGTGGGAAAGGACAGAGGGGAAGGGGGTGGGGGGATGGGGAGGTGTTTGGCCCTCTGCATCTATCGAGGATTTTATAGTAGAGGTCATTGGAGCTTTGAGTCCTCTTCTAGGTTCATTCCTGTTCTCTAAAGCTGCCAGCTTCTTGCTTTGGGCAGCCCCTTGGAAGCATCACACTAGCCTTTTCACAGAGGCCCTGTGCTTGAACTCTGTCTTCTTTGCAGGGCTTCCAAGTATTAGTAGAGTCTGACTGGCTGGATTTTGGACACAAGTTTGGAGATCGCTGCGGCCACCAGGAGAATGCAGAGGACCAAAATGAACAGTGTCCTGTGTTCCTCCAGTGGCTTGATTCTGTTCATCAGCTGCTCAAGCAGTTCCCTTGCCTGTTTGAGTTTAACGAAGCATTCCTGGTAAGATCTAAAGCCTGTGACAAGGGTGGGGGTGGCAGCTGGGGCCCCCAGGTGCAAGCTGTCTTGGCCCCCTAGGTCAAACTGGTGCAGCACACATACTCCTGCCTCTACGGCACGTTCCTGGCCAACAACCCCTGTGAACGAGAAAAGCGTAACATCTACAAGCGAACCTGCTCTGTGTGGGCCCTCCTGCGAGCCGGCAATAAGAACTTTCATAACTTTCTCTACACACCTGGCTCAGACATGGTAAGCCTGAACCCTCGTCCTGTAGGTGCTGCTTTGAGACCTATAGGGAGAATAGGCTGAGTCAGTGGGGAGGATGTCAGGCCCTGGAACATCTCACAAAGCACTAGCGTGGGCCTTCTTCCCTAGGTCCTGCATCCCGTGTGTCACGTCCGGGCCCTGCACCTCTGGACAGCTGTTTACTTGCCAGCATCATCTCCATGCACACTCGGGGAGGAGAACATGGATCTTTACCTTTCCCCAGTGGCTCAGAGCCAGGAGTTCTCTGGTCGCTCTCTGGACAGGTAAGATTGCCCTTCTTACTCTCTCTCCTCTTTACTAGAAGGCAATAATTGCTTTGTGTCTTGCCTAAATGTTGTTCTTTCTCTTTTTTTAAATTATAGTTTACGTTCAATATTATTTTGTATTAGTCTTTTTTTATTATTATTTGTTTGCTTGTTTTGTTAATCCTCACCTGAGGATCTTTTTCTATTGATTTTTAGGGAGAGTGGAAGAGAGAGGGAAAGACAGAGAGAAACATTGATGTGAGAGAAACACATCAATTGGTTGCCTCCTGCACGAGCCCTGACCAGGGCCCGGGCCAAGGAACCTGCAACCACGGTATGTGCCCTTGACTGGAATTGAACCCGGGACACATTGGTCCACAGGCTGATGCTCTATCCACTGAGCCAAACCGGCTAGGGCAGTGGTCAGCAAACTCATTAGTCAACAGAGCCAAATATCAACAGTACAACGATTGCAATTTCTTTTGAGAGCCACATTTTTTAAACTTAAACTATATAAGTAGGTACATTGTTATTAACTTAATTAGGGTACTCCTAAGGCTTAGGAAGAGCCACACTCAAGGGGCCAAAGAGCCACATGTGGCTCGCGAGCCGCAGTTTGCTGACCATGGGGCTAGGGTTGTATTAGCCTTTTTAAAAAAAATGAGATCTCTAAAAGCAACTTCCTGAGTTGGGTGAAGGATAAACTTGGCCAGAACTTGTATCTAGCCTGGAGCACACTGTGTGCATTTTCGAGGTCCTCGCTTAAGATAAGACTGGTTGCCTTCTTTCCTGGAACTCCTATCACCTTGTGTGACATACCCAAGCAGGGAGGAGAACAAGACAGGAAGGTCTGTTTTGGTAGGTTTGTGGGAATGGTCTTCTGTTCACTCATAGAAGGTGAGGGGAGCTTGTTATCTTAGTAATAACCTTTGCTGTGTCCGACATTAGCTTTCAGAAGCATCTGACTCTCAGGGAACAGGCTCCCCGAAGGGTGATGGATGACCTTCACATTACTTTCTCAGAACAAGGCCAGAATTAAAAGGGAGACATAAAAGTTAAAATTACCTTTTTGTTGAATATTTTGGGGGAAGTAGAATGGAGGTTGGTTAAATTATGAGTGATATATATCCCTTATTTAAAGGAAAAAGTCAAGTAATACAAAAGTAGAAAATAAACGTCCTCTCGTTCCGATCCTTGTCCCCACAGGTGTCCACTGCTAACACTTTGGTGCATGTCTTTCCAGTTGTTTACATAGATATGTCCACACTCACACTGGCATATAGAAACATTTTTTTAAAATACAAAAATAGTCTTAGCTGGTTTGGCTCAGTGGATAGAGCATCAGCCTGCGTACTGAAGTGTCCCAGGTTCGATTCTGGTCAAGGGCACATGCCTGGGTTGTGGGCTCAATCCCCAGTGGGGTGCATGCAGGAGGCAGCCGATTGATAATTATCTCTCATTGATGTTTCTATCTCTCTCCCTCTCTCTTCCTCTCTAAAATTAATAAAAATATTTAAAAAGATAAATAAATACAAAAACAGAATCGTATTTTGCATGCTGTTCTGCAAATTGTTTTTCCCACTCTGTGCTAGACTACCACCCCATGATAATATAAAACTGCTTTATTGTTTTGAGTGGCTATATAATAGTTTAAGGCTAGAGTATATTACAGTTTATATAACCAGTTTTCTATTGGTTATTTTGGTAATTTCCATTTTTTGTCATTATAGGGAATGTTTTAGTTAACATCCTTATATGTGTATCTTTTTAAAAAAATTGTGGTAAAATACACAATATTTAACATTAAACCCTTTTTAATTTTTTTTTGGTATGTATTTATTTCAAAAGAGAAAGGGAGAGGGAGAGAAACATCAATGCTGAGAATCATTGATCGACTGCCTCCTGCACGCCCCCTACTGGTGATCGAACCTGCAACCCAGGCATGTGACCTGACTGGGAATCAAATCATGACCTCCTGGTTTATAGGTCGATACTCAATCACTGAGCCACATTGACTGGGCCAAAACTATTTTTAAATGTACAGTTAGTAGTGTTACCTTATATGTATACCTTTGTATTTGTGCCAGTATTTCTGCCAGGTAAATTCCTGGAGATGAAAATGATGGGTTCAAAGGAATGTACATTTCAAATTTTGATCTTTGTATACTGGCAGAAAGTTTTAAAATTAAAATATAACTTGCCGAAACCGGTTTGGCTCCGTGGATAGAGCGTCGGCCTGCGGACTGAAAGGTCCCAGGTTCGATTCCGGTCAGGGGCATGTACCTGGGTTGCGGGCATATCCCCAGTAGGAGATGTGCAGGAGGCAGCTGATCGATGTTTCTCTCTCATCGATGTTTCTAACTCTCTATCTCTCTCCCTTCCTCTCTGTAAAAAATCAATAAAATATATTTTTTTAAAAAATAAATAAAATAAAATATAACTTATATAAGTGGCTGAATATTATAAAGGAAAACAAAAAGGCTAACCTCCTAAATTACTGGTTTTAGAAATTTTGGAGCTGAGTCCATCAGGAGCCCATGGATAGGTTTCAGGAATTATGTGATTTTTCTCTTTCCCCAGACTATGTAGAATGTAGGTATCGGTTTATAAGTTTACTTTTCTAGAGAGAGGGGCCATAACTTTTTATCAGATTCTCTAAGTTCTGTGACCTATTGAATAATTATTGCCTTAAAATCAATACAATTTTTTGCATCAATAAATGTTGTTTTAATACCTACAAGTTGCCTGGTACTATACTAGGTTTTATGGGCTATACCAAAGAAATAGAAACCATTAACCCTATTTAAGATATTTTAAAAAGCTGTAAGATAAGACATAAGACAATTGGAGAATGACTCTATAAGTCAGCATCTAAGCAAATAAGAATGTATAATTCAAAGCTGTTAGAGAAATGAGAAGTAAGAAAAAGGCCATTTGGTGACTATGTACTCAGAGAACTCATGGAAGACTAGGCAAGAACCATGGCTCTTTTGTACTGTAATATCTGGCTCAGGGCCTGGCACATAATAGGTGCTCTAGTAAATGCTTAAATGAACAAACAAATGAATGGAGTAAAGGGAGTTGTGAGCTTAGTAGCAAGGTTAGTGGAGAGGGTCCAAAGGAATTGGATACATGAGAGAGTTTTATAAAAAAAGAAGCAGCTCTCTGGAGCTGGCAGGGGTTGGGAAGGGGCTATTTTGAGGAATAAAAATAAATATACGATAGTTAATTGAGGGCTTTGAACATTACACTGAGGAGTTTATTTTGATTCCCTTGTCAATAGTAAATCGCTGTAGGAAGTCATTGTGACCTGGTGACACTGGGATTTTGGGAGAACTAGTCACTGAGCCTGGCAGTTGGAGGCCCAGAGACCAGCTAGCACTGTTGTAATTTAGATGTAAGAGGAAGAATCCAGGGAAAAGATAAGAATTAAATTAAAAGACATTGTAGAGAAGTCATTAGCAGGCTATGGAGTTGCTAAGTCCCTGAGTTTAGAAACCAGGAGGATATCAGTACCACCTATAGACATTGTAAAGTTGAGGAGTCTATTCTGGGAGGAAGAGGAGATATAGGCAGGTTGGGATTGAAATATTAGTTGACAGTAAAGCGGAGCTGTAGGAATTCAAGGTAGAGAGTTGGATTTTTGAAGAATAAGTGGTATAAAGGTTTTAAAGGAAATAGTTTCTCTAAAAGCTGACCTGATGTACCTTTGGTTCTACCATTTCCTAGATCAAAAATGTCTTGGCCTCTTTCCTCTTCTTCCATTAAAGTCCAGCACATTCTTCTGTCCCCAGCTGAAATCATACCCTCTGTGTGTAGCCTTCCCTGACCACCTTAGCTGGATATGAGTTCTCTCCTTGTTCCAAACTTCTCAGGCATTATTGTCTCTACCAGCATTATTTTATTAAGCCTTTGGTGCACATAGGAATTAAGCTGTTGATATTGTTGAATCTGGGTAAAATACGTGGGAGTTACTTATATTCGTTTGTCTACTTTACTTCTGTTGCATATTTGAAAGTTCCTATTAAGAAAAACCAAACACTTAAAAGAGTTGCCAAGTTGGGATTCAAGCCCTGCTATGGGACTTGGAGACTGTAATCATAACCATTGCTATCACCTTGCTGGAATTTCATGGCACAGAAAAAATCAAAATTGATTACAAAAGTAAAATCAAACACAAACATACCTTTAAAACATAATAAGTTTCAAAAACCAAACACTTAGAAAACTCGAGCTATATTGTAATTCTGCCTTCAGGAGATTTTTCTATATGAGCTGGTCAGAGGTATCTGAAAATTGGAGCCCAGTGATGTCTCCGCTGTTCCCTGGCAAATTGTTCTGAAGTTTTAGTTGCTCTAAGGACTTTTGAACTGTCTTAAAAATCAAGGAGCTCATTCTTGAAAATGTTACACATCTGGCATGCACAAATGCCTTGTAACTTTCTGAATGCTGTGTACTAGGAGAAGTTTCCATTATGACTTGGGACTCAGGAGAACACTGTTGCTTAATTGTTGTAAAAAGCTGTGTTGGTTACTACTGTGAAAGAGGGAATATATATATATATATATGAACGAATGCCCAGGGACCGCTAAGGCAGAATGACCAGAATGACCGGTCACTATGATATGCACTGACCACCAGGGGGCAGGCGTTTAATGCAGGAGCTGCCCCCTGGTGGTCAGTGTGCTCCCACAGTGGGAGTGCCACTCAGCCAGAAGCCGGGCTCACTGAGCCGAGGTCACGACTGGCGAGCGCAGCAGCGGTGTTGGGAGCCAAGTGGTAAGGAGCCAGCAGGTGGGCAGTAAGGAGTGAGCAGGTGGGTGGTAAAGAGCGGTGAGCCAAGCGGTATGGAGTGAGCAGGGGGGTGGTTAGGAGTGAGCAGGCGGGCAGTTAAGAGTGAGGGGTCCCAGATTGTGAGAGGGCGCAGGCCAGGCTGAGGGACACTGCCTCCCCCGCCCGCTGTGCACGAATTTCGTCCACTGGGCCTCTAGTTTATAAAAAAAAAAGTTGTAAAAATGAGTTGTAAGTGTAGTCTTAATCATTTGTGGTTGGTTGCCTATATTTTGAATCAGCACCTCTGTAAGTTATAATTATTATTTTATAGAGGAGGAAACCAAGTGTCGGAGGGGTTAAATACCTTACTTATATAGCTACTAAGTGTCAGAACCAGTATTGTCTAGCTCCAAAACCCATCTTTCTGTCTTACCATATGTGATAGAGGCAGTTGGACATTAGGTTTGGGCTCAGGTGTAGTCCTGGCTGGAATAGTAGCTTTAGAAGGCATCAGCCTAGAAGGCTAAGTTAAAACCATGGGAGTGATTGAGATTGCCCAGGGAGATTGTGTAGGGTGAGGACTGATGAAAGCTTGGGACAGGGTTCTTGAGGACAGGGTTCTTGTACTTTTTTGCAGAGTACACTTTTTGTAGTGAACATTGTTTATCTGTAATGTTAAATGCCATTATTTCTTGTGAACTCTGGCTTTGATGTTGCTTTGATGATCTGATTCTGTATATTGGAGGTGGCTCCCATTTCATGACCTGGTGGCATTGTGTTGTCATTCCAGATTACCTAAAACCAGATCTATGGATGATCTTCTTTCTGCCTGTGACACAAGCAGCCCTCTGACGCGCACATCCAGTGACCCTAACCTGAATAACCATTGTCAAGAGACCAGAGCAGGCCTGGAGCCCTGGCATAGCAATCCCGAGGGATCAGAGACAGCCTTCGTGGAATCTGGGGTAGGAGGTCCTCAGCAGACTGTAGGAGAAATGGGTCTTCCCTCACCTCTGCCCAGCAGCCAGAAAGACTACTTGAGCAATAAACATTTCAAGAGTCACAAAAGCTGTTCTCCAAGTTACAAACTGCTCAGTGCCACAGCGCCCCAGGAAATGAAGAGCAACTCCTCTGATCCTGAGATTAAAGTCATGGAAGAGACCAAGGCATCACCTCCAGACCCTCCTGCCCAGGAGGTGCTGTGTAGGACTTTAGATGGCACAGAGGAGCCACCTGAACATTTCCCTGAAAAAGAAGCTGTTAGTGCACTCTCTAAAGTAATTTCCAACAAGTGTGATAGAATTTGTGATTTTCCTGAGTCTTCCCAGGACTCCCTTACAGGTGCCCCCCAACAGGCCCAGCTAGGCTCTGTGCTAGGTGTACCCTCCAGATCTGCTCCAGATCACAGTCTGGGCACCCTTTGCAACCCACCGAGTGCTACCTGCCAAACTCCTCCGGACCCAAGCACTGACTTTCTCAACCAAGATCCCCCAGAGTCTGTGGCAAGTATCTCCCACCAGGAACATCCCAGTTCTGTGCCAGATCTGATTGATGGGGAGGAAGACACTGACAAAAAAGGGAATAATAGGAATGGGCAGTTATTGGAAAATCCTCGCTTTGGGAAAGTGCCATTGGATTTGGCCCGAAAGCCAATTTCTCAGAGCCAGATCAGTGAGTTCTCCTTTTTAGGGTCCAACTGGGACAGTTTCCAAGGGATGGTGACTTCATTCCCAAGTGGGGAGACCACTCCTCGGCGGCTGCTTTCCTATGGTTGTTGTAGCAAGAGGTCGAGCAGTAAGCAGATGCGGCCAATAGGGCCCTGCTTTGGGGGCCAGTGGGTTCAGAGAGAAGGGGTGAAGTCACCTCTCTGTTCTAGTCATTCCAATGGACACTGTACTGGTCCAGGAGGAAAAAACCGGATATGGTTGTCCGGTCACCCAAAGCAGGTCTCCAGCACAAAGCCTGTTCCACTGAGCTGCCCTTCTCCAGTGCCTCCTCTCTATCTGGATGATGATGGACTCCCCTTTCCCACGGATGTGATCCAGCATAGACTACGGCAAATTGAAGCAGGGTACAAGCAAGAGGTGGAGCAGCTACGTCGACAGGTGCGGGAACTGCAAATGAGACTGGATATCCGTCACTGCTGTGCCCCTCCAGCAGAACCTCCCATGGATTATGAGGATGATTTTGTAAGTATTCACCTACTGCCACCCATCCATTCATTTATTCTGTCCATTAGCCTTCCATTCAACATTCATTCATGGGTACTTGCTGTGTGCCACTGTGAAAGGTGGTTGGGCTATAAGATGAAAGACATAGAACCTTCTCTCAAGGAACTCAAGAGTCTATTGGAAGAGACAAACAATTAGAATTATTATTTCTTAATACTATTTGAGGGAAGCATCAGATGTTGGGGCCTGGGGTAGAGTGAAAGGTCAGGGAAGGCATTCCTGAGAAGATAATGCTTAGCTGGAAAATGTGGCATATGTAGCTTGGTAGACAGTGAAAAGGAAATAACCATTTGTAGAAGCATGGAGGCAATAGGTATTCCAATAGTATGGCTTGAACAAATGGTGTGTGTGTGTGTGTGTGTGTGTGTGTGTGTGTGTGTGTGTGTACATGTATACTTGTGCTAGAATGGCAAGGGAGGCAGTTGGGTAGTGCGGTGGGAGGTGATATTGGGGAAGTAGACAGGGATCAGAAAGGTCAGTTTGAGTTCCCTTATTGTTTGGATTTTACCTTCAAGGTAATAATATTTTTGACCAGTGAGTAATGTGATCAGATTTGTATTTTAAGACTACTACTCTAGGGGAGGGTGGTGGTAAGGGGGAGAGATCAACCAAAGGACTGGTAGGCATGCATATAAGCCTAACCAATGGACACAGACAACAGGGGTGAGGGCATGAGTGGGGGTGTGTGTGGGGGGCAATGGGGCGATGACGACACATATGTAATAGCTTAATTAATAAAGAAAAAAAGAAAAATTACAGAAAAAAACAAAACAAAACAAAAAGAATACTACTCTAGCAATAGTGTATCAAATGGAGGAGGCAATTGAAACTCAGTTTGGGAGGCTGGTTAGGATGTTTCAGAATAATCCAGGTGAGAAATGAGGACCATTTAGGTTTTGCTGTGTTGGGGGAGGCCTCAGATTCTGGCACTACAGTCCCTGGGGAGCTTCTAGGAGTCAGCTTCTTGCCCATAATATCTTGTCATCTACACAGGCACTTTACTTCCTCCTGTTAAGACATTCCCTCTTCATTGCTACCTACTTGTTGGGATGGGATGGGCAGGGCCAACAACTTCTTACCATTCAGGGTGATGATTTAGAACAGGAGTCAGCAAACTTTTTGGTCAAGGGCCAGATAGCAAATGCTTTAGGCTTTGTGGGACACGTAGTCTCCTTTGCAGCTACTTGGCAGAAGCAGCCGAAGACACACATGTAATGCACTTAGAACAGCATGTGATGCATAATAATAAATACTAAAGATGATGAAGATGATGTTGATGTCTTCGCTTTTTCTTCAGACATGTTTGAAGGAGTCGGATGGAAGTGATACAGAAGATTTTGGCTCTGATCACAGTGAAGACTGCCTTTCAGAAGCAAGCTGGGAACCTGTTGATAAGAAAGAGACTGAGGTATGTCCTTGCAAATATGGGTCCTTATGCAAGCCAATGTGTTTTCACATTTCTCAGAGATGAGTGAAGTGCTTAGACTGAGTGTCTTCTTTTTAGGTGAATAGTGGCCAACTATAAAGACAGGCCTTGTCTTTTCCTCCTGGGACACTCTCCTTGTTGCAATGTTGTTGTTCTGCTTTGTTGACAAGGACCTGGAATTTTTTCTTGTCCCTTCTGTTAGGTGACTCGCTGGGTTCCAGACCATATGGCATCACATTGCTATAACTGTGACTGTGAATTCTGGTTGGCCAAACGAAGACACCATTGCAGGTAAGGTGTTTTATATGATTTGATATGGCTCGAAAAAGTGAGGTACACATATATGAATGAAATTGAATTAATCTGAAAATGGAGACATCTTTATAGGAACTATTTTTGCTTGTTTCCGATGTTTCTCTTTATTTACTCATGTAATGCCTTTTAGAGTATCATTCATTCTCAATGTATTGGCATTTATTTTATTTAAAAAATGTTTCAATTACAGTTTGCATTCAGTATTATTTTGTGTTAGTTTCAGATGTTCAGCATAGTGGCATTTCTGATGAACTCTTTCCTCCTTGTGCTTTGGCAGAAATTGTGGGAATGTATTTTGTGCCGGTTGCTGCCACCTGAAGTTGCCCATTCCTGATCAGCAACTCTATGACCCAGTTCTCGTCTGTAACTCATGTTACGAACATATCCAAGTATCTCGTGCCAGGGAACTTATGAGCCAACATCTGAAGAAACCCATTGCTACAGCTTCCAGTTGAATGCCAGAGATGACCTATCCAATTATAGCAGGTTGGAAGGGAGAATCTGCTTCTGGTATAGTTTTGAAGGTTCCTTGGTGTGGCTCATGAAATCACAGAGTTCAAAGATACCATCTTGAGAAATCCTTGGTATCATGAGACTGGAGCAGAGGAATTCCAATTTGACAGGATGTCCTCTACTACGGGTGAGACCCTCACCGTGGGGTAATGGTCCTGACCCAGACCCAGAGTCTGGAATCTTAACGTTGAGTTGGTGACTCCAGCTTCTTTCTCCTGGGAGTCACAAGATAATGATTTCATTGATACTGCCTGGTAATGTGTGCCCCAAACAGCAATAGAAAGGCATATGTATAACCAAACTCCAAGTGATAACCAGATCCATCTCTCCTCCACCTTGAAATAAAGCAGATTATAGTATATAAAATAGGAATTCCTATCCTATTTGAAATGAACTATATCCTGTACCTCTGTGCTCTGTGTCTGTGCATGAAGGCTCAGTCTTTAGAGGCACTTCCTCTAGTTGCATTAGTTCTGTCTTTCTGTGGAGTTTGGTTTTAAGACTGGTTCAGCAAGTGGAGGTTTTGCTGTATTTTTCACTTGGCTCATCGGCCAGCATCAGTGAATATTCAGTTTAGGGGGACAGTTCTAGGGAGCGAGACATTTTTGGGAGCAGAAAAAACTCTGCTGATGTTCATTCAGTCCTGGCAAAAGTCAGTTATTTTGAGCTATAAAGGCAGTCATCTGTGTCATTCAGTGATGGCTCTTGAGGTATGCACTGTGAAGAATGAGAAGGGAAACGCATAAATTATCCTTGTGAAATATTTGCTGATTGTGCCCTGCCCTTTGCGCCTGACTCTTCCTAGTTGTCCTGGTGCTAACACAGGAGCTACACCTTGATCCTCTCCTGGCATGAAAATAAAACCATGGTGTTTTTTTGTTGTTGTTGCTCCATTGCCCACTTTCCTCATGTTGTCTTTCCCTTGGCTGCTGCCTCCTCTGGGTCACACTGCTTCTTATCCTGAACACTTGACACCTTGAGGGTAGAATTTAGTGTTTGGTTTTTACCTCCTAGAATATGCTGTTTGGTATGTGAGGGTTTCAGTACAAATGCTGCTGTTTATTTCTGTGCACTTAACAATGGAACCCAAACAGAAGAGAATAAAGCCTTGATACCAAAATTGGGAGAGAAAATGTGTCCATTTGGACCAAACCTTGTTTTATTTTTTTTCATTTTTTTTTCATATTAATATGTACCAGTGGCACTTAACCAAAAGATACAGTGATATAGCCATGTACTGTGGGTGAGACAGATACAGTTTTCTTAACCTATAACAAAATCACTAGAATTTCCTTTATACATTTTTCTTAATTTGTTGGTGTATAAAAGGTAAATTACACTTAGGCTTATCCTGTTTTAAAACTACTATGGTAGCTGTCTGCTACTTTCATGTTGCTTCCTAGAAAAAAAAAATTTTATTTGAAAAATAATTGAACAAGAATCATATTTGTCCTGACCTTTTCTTCAATCCTACAGAGAAGCATCTGTGCTTTTATACTTGCCATGGATGTAACCTAAAAAGTTTTGGCGTATTTAGGTCAACCTAGCAGAACTCTTTTTGATTTAAATGAAGTTGAATAATGGAGATTTTGTGTTTGGGAAATCCCTGAGATCATTGAAAAAGTAACAAACTATCCCTTGTCTCTGACACATAAAATTCTTCTAAGCATTTTCGTAATCATTAAAACTTACTGCCAGTTGTGAGTGGCTTTTTAATTAACTTGATTTCCATTGCACATGGGGAGTAAAATTAGTAACCTTTGCGGGGACTGTATCTGTCTCTCTTGTTTGGCTATTTGGAGGGACTATCCCATCAGTGAACATACTGCATGGCCTTGGAGAGAGACTGGGCTCTCAGCTCAGATGTGTGCATCACATACTCCTTTCAGAGCTCTTGTGGGTGTAAGTGACATGACGTGGCCAAAAATCCAAACTGTGCAGTTGCGTTGTGACAAACATGCAATGTGCTGTAAAAACTCAATACAATTTAAATAAAATCTCTATATTAGTGCTGCTTTGTTGGATCTTTTTATTCATTTTAACTTCTAAGAAAACCTAATGCATACTCATTTTTTTCTTTGATCATGAGAAAGGACTAAAACGTTACACCCTGTCCAACATTTTCCACTTTTTTATGGACTTTTTATCAGTTACATTCTTACTTTTCGACCCAGGGAGTTAGTTACCTGATGGATACAGTAGAATTCTATCCCATCTCATGAGGTTTACTTCTCTAAGGTCTAGGATTTCACCCGCTGGTTGATCGGGCGCACAGGATTGTTGTGCCGATATTCCCCGCCGCCTCAGTTCCCTCCCACCTTGAGGAGACTCCTGAGCACAGTCTTGGCTTCCAAGTGTGTACTGGAAAGTACATAAGATGCTATCTAAACGGCGACTTTGTTTCCTCAGGATACCAGCCCACCGTCGCCATTTTTAGTTGTGGAGAGCTGAGCCATTCCATTGCCATCCTGAGATGACAGAATTGGGCCCTTTGTTCTCGGGAATGGTGGCCTCCCTGTGGCCCAGCGCACACTTGCCGCATCCCACCTCCCCGCACGCACGCCGGCCCGACGGTGAGGACGCGAACCCTGGTGTTCCACGCGGGTCACTGGGCTCGTTTCCTCGCGGGCTTCACCCTACCTGGTGGGCAGCCACCCCAGCTCGAGGGAATGTGACTTTCTCCCGTCGTGTCCCACGCGTGGGCACGTGGCTGGGCGATGCGCGTCCCGCGGGTCGGCGGTGCCCGCCGAGGGGGCACCTCTTCCGGGCGCGCGGTGGGAACTCGAGGCCCCATTGGCCGCGCTGGACGGCGCCACGGGGCTCGGACGCCAACGGTCCGGGTCTGTGAAGGCCGAGCGCCGGCAGGAGGGGGCAGGGCGAAGCGAAGGCCGGGGGGGATCGAGAACGGGATAGCAGAGCCAGGCTCGGCGGGGCGAGGCCCAGGGCCCGGGCGGGGGCGATGGAGGAGGCGCTACTCTCCACCCCCATCAACCCCAACAACTTCCCCGCCAAACTGTGGCGGTTGGTGAACAGCCCTCGCTACCGCTCGATTCGCTGGGACGGCCGCGGCGAGGGGCTGCTCATCGACCAGCCGCTCTTCGAGGCCGAACTGCTCAGCCCGCCCGGGGCGGGAGCCGGAGGCGGCGGGAGCTCCGGGGGCGGCGGCGTCGGCGGCGTCGGGGGCGCGGCGGCCGAGCCGGAGCTCTTCAAAACCACCAACTTCACCAGCTTCATCCGCCAGCTTAACCTCTACGGCTTCCGCAAGGTGGTGCTGGGCGGGCCGGGCGCGGCGGGGCCCGGGCCGGGGCCGGGGGGCGGCGGGCCGGCGGGCGACGGGCCGCTCCACCACTTCCACAGCCCGCACTTCCGCCGCGACCAGCCCCAGCTGCTCGTGCACCTCAAGCGGCTCACCAGCGCCAACAAGGCCAAGCTGGCGGCCGGCCTGAAGGTGCCCTGCCGCCCGCCCAACCGCTTCCAGAGACTCCTCATCACGTCGGCCTCCGCCTCGGCCTCCGCCTCGGCCTCCGCCTCCGTCTCGGCTTCCGCCTCGGCCTCCGCCTCCACCTCCCCGCTGCAGCACCAGGAGCCGCCGCCGCCCGCGGGGCCCCGGCCGGATCCGCACGGTGAGTCCCGCCCGCCGCCGTCCGGCCTCTTGTGCCCTCGCCCACCGCAGGGCACATGGGCTCAGGGAGCAGCCGCCCCTCCGAGACCTGGCGGCACGTCCTCATCTTGGACGGATCCCGCGGGCTTCCCCAGAAATAGGTCCCATCGCCATGGTTCTCACTCCCGACAGCACCCTCTTTCTACCAGCACCTCCTCTGGGAAGAGCCCACAGGCGTTTAGCCCCGTCCGGGCCCACTGGCAGCCACAGGCGCCTCGCTTCAGGCGCTCCTCTCCCTGCACCCCTGATCGCCGTCCTCCCGGAGCCATTGACCTCCGAGCGGCCCGTGAGCAGCGGGAATGGGTAGCGCCGGGCCCGGAAGAAACGCAGGGCCGCCTTTGCCCCAGTGGGAAGCAGGACGGGGACACTGGACGGGGTGAGCGTGTGTGACGAAGATGAAGGTAGGAAGGAACACGGTCACAGCCGATTAGACCACTTGTCCCAGCCAAGGGGAAGGGAACAAGGTCCCCAGAGTGGAAGTTTGTCGTTGAAGAGACAACGCCATCTTCCACCCATTGACACACACAGCTAAGAGATGTTGGGAGACATGTTCTGACAATAATCATATGTTAGGCCCCAACTAGTGTGTAGAACAATAACGCATTGTTTATATATCTTAAGAGCAAAAAGATATTTCCTTATTCAACCTGGTATTATTCCTATGTAGGAGGAGCTGGCTGAACAGTCTTTGGTTGTAGCTGCCCAGAGCGGATGCTTATTTTAAGAGGCTATGGTAGGACACACAGAAGGCAAAAGTGATTTTCTGTACAGTTGTCAAGTTTTAATGACACAGAATGTTAGAAAGCTCACATTATGACCTTTAAATTGTTCACGATTGGATATAATCTTTCATTATTTGAAAAAAAATTGTGTTTATAAATCTGTATTTACTAAAAGTTCAGAAATCCTCTCTGATACAAAATTATTTTATAAACTTGATTTCTGATGCTCTTCCTCTTGTTCCAGGAAGAGCGGCAATATTAGAGAGCAATAGAAACATTTTCAGCATGTTAACATAGAAATTTTCCTGGGTTACTTTTCAGTTTTGGAAAACTTAAAAAATATACAAACAAAAGAACACTGTGTTCAACTTAATGTAAGCCAGGAGTTATGAATGAGGCGGCACTTTGTTCGTTTGGAATTTAGAAGATAAGGGATTAGGTTGTGTCTGTGGAGTTTAGAAGATAAGGAATTAGGTTAGAGTTCTAGCAACAAGTTGGAGAAATAGCAGTGGAATAGGAGTGTTCCAAAGGAATTCTGAAGGACTATTAAGCTACTTCCATATGATGGCCATTGCTTTTGATGGGGAATCCGATGGGGAAAGGCAGTGGAGACAGTACCATGGCAGACATTTGGCAGAATCTCTGCCATCTATACTTGTTTTTCAGGTTGTGTATCTGAGAGAGAGGGGAAAAAATATGTTCTTGAGGAGCAATAGGATAACCACTTTATTTCTTTAATTGACTTCAGAGAGGAAGGGAGAGGGAGAGAGAGATAGAAACATCAATGATGAGAGAGAATCATTGATTGGCTGCCTCCTGCACGCCCGCCACCTGGGCATGTGCCCTGGACTACAATGGAACCAAGGACCCTTCAGTCCACAGACCAACGTTCTATCCACTGAGCCAAATTGGCTAGGCAGGATAACCACTTTAAACAAGCATACATACATACTTATGTACATAAACCTAAGAACCAATTCTTGCTTACTTTTTTCTCTTCTCTGATTTTCTTTTCCCCTCCCGTATCCTAAACCCAATTGTAGTCTAAGGACAGAATCCATTTTAATTAAAGAAACACAGGGGCTATCTAGGATCTGATTTTCTTCACTTCTATTTCAGTTGGCTAGCATTTTAAAGATTATTTGTTGAAAAACTTGTAATTCATACTTTTTCAGGCTAATACATCAATCCATACATACCTAGGTTATTGTAGTTTTCATGAATTTCCTGTTTTGTTGTTTCTTTTTTTTACCATTTTACCTGTTCATATGTGCAGGTGGTATGTCACATGTGGATTGCCTACACCATAGGCTTGGTTCACTAGGGAATTGTGTTACTAGTTTGGGTGGAATGTAATTCTAAGTTCAAGAATACTGGCCCAATTTTGTTTTGCTTTAATTCCATGTTATAAGTCCTTGGCTCTTCTATTTTTCCTAGCCCAACCTGTATTCTGCCTGAATTGTCTTGGTTAAATGCCTGATTACACTGCTACTTCTTAGTTTCCATTTTGTTTTTTGTGTTCTGCAATTTAGGGTTTGAAAGCTTTTCTTTCACAGTACAATCCCCTGTTTTAGGATCTAGTTCTCTTATCTAGATCCTTGAGCCAGCTTCCTTTATACTTTTTGAGAATGTACTTGATAAGAAATGTGAGGATCACATGTTTTTCCTTTTTTCATTTGTCCACTTTTATTATTTTGTTTTTAGTGGCAATTTTTAAAATATTTGTTAAAACTTTCTAAACTAAGTCACATAAAGTTGAGTGGTAGATAATCTGTCTTTGCCTGAGGCTACCAAACTCTCAAGAGGCAGGTTTTGGACAAGAGACAAATTTTTCCTGGGGATTGATTAGTTTAGATTCATTTATACAGAAGGAATAGAATTTCTAAGAACAGAAATTCATCCTGCCTTACATTTCTATAATTCTGGATTTAAACTTTGCCAAATATATCAAATTAAGGTATTCTGAAGACATATAGGTATGATCTGTAAAGTTGGAGTACAACCCTCTGAGATATCCCTTAACAGAAGAATAAATAAGAGCTGAACATGTTTTAGATTTTTATTTCAAAAAACAAATTTGAAGGAATGTCCTTTGAATCCTAACAGTGTCCTTATGTTAGCATCTAAAATAAGTAGATATTTGGCCATCACTCAGACTTTACCTTGCTAGGAGTAGAATTTATATTTTAATTCATACCTAAACCAGAAATTGAGAAATCAAGATAGAGAATTCTTTAATTAGCTGCTTATATTATTGATAGTCTAAAAATTCAACAACAGCTTAACCCTGAAGAGGGTACAAAAATGATTAGTGAGCTATTGCACATTGTGCAATATGTTGTTTTAGCACTGTTAGCGGTGGAAAAACAGCACCAGGTGCTAGGCCCAGGAGTAGTTAGAAGCACTCTCTAATGCTTTATTCTTTAGAGGAAATAAACACCATAGAAATAAAATGAATAGTGTGTAACATGTAGAATAAGTTTACAGGTTAAGTATTTGAGTGCCATTTTTCACTAGGTAGTTTAACAGATGAGTATGATATAAATTAGACTTCCCCTCTGTTTTATGGAATTTTTTTTTTTTTTTTTGTAAACCCTCACTCGAGGATATTTTTTCCATTGCTTTTCA